TCTACCCAAGAACAAAAATATTCATATATACCAATTTCTTTTAGTTTGAACACTAACCTATTGTGAGGAACCGTGTCAAATGCCTTGGCAAAATCCAAATAGATCACATCCACTGCAACACCTTGATCTATACTTTTTACTTACTTCTTTGTAGAATGCAATTAGGTTAGTTTGACATGAACTATGTTTCATAAAACCATGCTGATTATTGCTAATAACAAAGTTCTTCCCAATGAATTCCTGAATATTATCCCTTAATAGCCCTTCAAATACTTTCCCAGTCACAGAAGTTAAACTCACAGGTCTATAATTTCAAGGCAAGGATTTTGAACCTTTTTTAAATGTAGGAACAACATCTACCTTCCCTTAATCCTACGGTACAATTCCTGAAAGAAGAAGATCTTGAAAGATTAAATACAGAGATTCACTTATTTCCATACTTAGCTCCTTAAGTACTCGTGGGTGAATACCGTCAGGCCCCGGAGCTTTATTTACATTAATTTTCTTTAACTGCTGTAGCACCTTCTCTTGAGTCATCCAATCACAAGTTATCTGCAAGTTTTTTGTCAGCAATCATTTGAATATCTCTTGCCATAGGATCCTCATTAATATTTACTGTAGAAAAAGTTATTTAACAGCCCTGCCTTTTCCTGGTCTTTGTCAACTAACAGACCCATCTCTGTTTCCAGTGTATCTACACTTTCACTTTTTGTTTTTTTAGAATTGATGTACTTGAAAAAAGTTTTGGGGTTGGTTTTGCTTTCTTTGAATATCAATTTCTCATTTTCTAGTTTAGCCACTTTAATTTTACCACATGACAGGAGGCTTTGTATTTTGCATATCTCTCTTTACTAACTCCATACAGCAGTAAAGAAACACATAGAAAAAAGAACCAATCACAGGAGAGCAGGATGTACACAAGGCAATATGACCTTATCATTTCCTCTTTCTTTACTGCTCCATCAAACAGACAGGTCAGAGTATTACTCATCTCCATTACTTTATGTTTACAGTGACTCTTTGAGGTTGTATCTGTATTATATTTTTATATACTTTACTGTATGTTCTTGCTGTGCATCTGTACTATGTGCAGCGGTGTTTTTTCTATGTTATTTCATAGATATTATGTAGATTTAATGTTATCCTTATTTCATAACCTTTACTTGTGATTAATATCACTTGTAATTTATCAGTTTTATAGGCATTTCATCCTTTGTTTTGATAAGTATTATATGTACTTTATATTTATTTAATAGATGTCATATGTATTTTATAACATGGATTTAATAGGTGTTAGGTGTAAAATTTATTATTGACTTAATAGGTTTAATGTATAGTTATGGTAGATGTACTTTATACAATATGTATCATGACTTTTCTGGCGATTTTCCTGGTCTTCTATACCTGGGGCATCTGGGGACCCTCTTTCCCCGCTTTCCTCCTTCCCCCCAGGATCTCATGGGGATTCTGGGTCTGGCTGGGGTTTAACCCCTTCCCTCCCGTGGTTCCCGTCGGCTCCCACCGGCTCCCGGGCATTAACCCCTTCTTCCGGCCTATCCGTTCGGCCCCTTCCTCCTACAACCCTCAGGGGGACAGCTGGACTACCTGCCCTCGCTCTCTCAGGCTGCCCCATACCGTACACCTGGTAATGTGCTGGATGCTTTCCAACATCCACTACCTTGGTGCAGGGCAGTCTGTGGGGCGACCACGAGGTAGCCCGAGCATGACGCGGCCGGCCATCTTTGACCCCGCGTCTACCGAGACTCCAGGGGCCATGTTCCCCCTCCTTTACCCTCGGCGGCCATCTTTAATTTTGCAAAATTATGGACGGCCGTTTTGCTACTCTCGCCCACCACAATTTTGGCACTTGAGAGTAACATATACCTGGGCTGTAAGTTAGCCTACCTGCTATTGGGCTCACGATTCTCTGACACGGATGTTGGACCCCAGGGTCCCAAGTTCGAATCCAGGCAAAGGTAAGTATTCTAACTGGCCTTTTATTTACAGATTTGAGTTGTACTCGTGTATAGTGGTTTGAGGTACTGGAACCTTAAAGGGATATCACCCAAGAAATCCCTTAAAGGGATAGCACCCTCAAATTCCTTAAAGATACAATTCTTGGACCCTTATAGGGAACTCCTTAAAAGGATACCACTCTGGAACTACTTAAAAGGGATTCCAAATCCTTAAAGGGATACCACCCTTGAATTCCTTAAAGGGATAGCACCCTTGGACACAGACTATCAAGATGGTACTGTATAAGTACATATCAGTGATGGGAGATTTGAAGGGATATCACCTGGATCAGGGTTCAGGAATCTACAGTACAGCAAGACTATGTCTGGTAATGGATGCTCAAAGGGATGACTCCTATCACTTAAGACTACCTGTCAGAACACGACCGACGACGGAGCTTAGAGCTAGTGCTATATCCTATTATCCCTCAGACGCCAGTCACTTTTTGTCTCATTACTGCCATATTAGGCACTAAATGGCTTATTACCCTGTGCCTGCTTGGGGTGCTACCCCTATTACCGTGCTGCTTTTTAGAGGTAGCCCTGTGGCCAACTCTGTGATCCTGGGTGAGGCCCAGTTATACAAATCCCAATATTGTGGTTTGCCCTGCTGGGACAATTTGACAACACTAAGTGACAGATACAGAATACCCTGCTGGGGTTATTACACATGACTGTCATTTATACAGACCCTGCTGGGGTCCACTGGCATTATTTACACTACAACAGATACCCTGCTGGGGTACCCCATATCACACACCCTGCTGGGGTTGTTTTGGTACTTTGAGACAATAAATTGCACACAATAAGTGCACACTACTGAATATCACACACCCTGTTGAGGTTGTTTTGATACTTTGAGACAATAAATTGCACACAATAAATTTCACACTACTAAACCCTGCTGGGGTCTGCATGGTGCATTACACGCAATGAAACGGATTGTGCTCTCATCCAGTCTGTTTTATTTGGCCGCGACCCACGCTTGACGGGTACATACCCTGCGCACCTGAGGTGATCTCTGACTAGGTATACGCCAATCTATTTGGCAAAAAAGGGGACAGAGTCGCAAGCTTCAGTGCAGTATATCCCTCATGGCAGTGCATTAATTATTGATAGAGCTGTAGGACACTCTCTATCAGGCTGATGGTCAGCACTGATGGGTTCATACCCTGTGCACCCGGGGTGAGCCCCCACTATACGTGCGCTGCACGGTGCTGCTGAACGGAGGCAATGCTATGGCAACCTCTATGTACTGGGTGGCCACGATTCGGAATAGACCCACAAAGGTTTCCGTGAACACTGCCTGTCATAGTAGACTGATCTGTTTGCCCTGCATCCTGTGCCTGACTACTGGTTTGTGCCTTACACAGGGGTATCCTTTACTACGATAAACCTACTTGACAACATTATGCACTTGTGGCTTTGCAGCTTCTTGCTTAGAATGTCCATTTCCGCTGATGGTCGGACAAACCCATGCCCAATGGCTCAGACGACTATAGTGACCAACGGAGGAGGTCTCTCAGGATTCACGACCTTACCATGGGCGATGCTGGACGCCGCCAAACGTCCGGGAACGGGCATACAACTTGTGTATATGGACTCAAAAAACTGTTTCTGCTCCTTTCAGGAAACCCCAGTGTTGGCCTCTCCCATAGGATGCCCATAGCAGCACTCCTCCGCACTGACGGATGGTTGGCGGTACTGGGCGCCAAGATAGTCAGAACTCCAGACACAAGGCACAAAGTTCCTAAGGGAACTTATTAGACATGCAAGGGTCCCACGGCTTTCATAAGGGCCCAAATGCGATTACCTTTACAAGGGATTCTTTGGAATCGGTTGGCAACAGAGCCGGTCGTCGACCACTTCGGGACATTAGACCCGAGATCCGCTAACGCTGGCTCTATTATCCATATAGAGCGAGAGTCAACCAATGGTGCTCCAGATAAGCGGGCAGAGAACACGGTACGCACAGATACCATCAATATACCTCCTACTACATCCACAGGGGATTTCACCACATCTAGGTGAAAGGCACTCAATCCTGGGGAAGACCACTTTCACGTAGTCAACTGACTTGCGTTCAGGACCTAAAGACACGTCAGGACGGTTTCTTGCTTCCCGCTCGACCACCTTACCCTGTTTTCAGGGGACATCCTCTCCTTCCCGATCCAGTAGCTCGGAGCCTGGTGGAACCTGATAAACTACAGAAAGAAGTAATGAATACAGGCGGGGAAGACGAGACACTCTCTTCCGGGAGAACCTCATTCAGATCACTCCAGTGAACTGAAACTCGTCAATATCCACGTTCATCCGAGAACCGGCTGGAACCTTTTGTAGAAGACTATTCGCTCAGAGGATTCGTAGACTATTCCACAACTTGGGAATATTCATACGACTCTCCGCGGCACCACCGCGACCCTGTACGTTGTATACCTAGACTTCTTGGTCCTATTCTTCACAATACATGGATTGATAAAGAACTACTAGATCGGCTGCACCCTACTGCAGATAACCACAGATTAGGCGGTCAGGTTTCAAATCCACCTCGATGGACCAACTCACGTTTATCAGACAACATGTAGGCTCCTTCTTCACAGAAGATCAACCAGTCTCCCGGGGAGACACATCTCATAGGGGCCGACTGATTTGGATATTACCACTCGTCACAGTATAAGTCGAGGCACGATGGTGATCGTGCTCCGTCTGACCGGACCTCCCTGGAGGACTTATGCTGCTCATGCTTACAAGGTCTACAGTAATTCTCAAGCAGGCGAGGATCTTCTCCTGCTACATTCATGACAAACAATTCCTCACTGAGCCGTAGGGTACTCACTTCTTCTATTCCAGGAGGGTCGGCTACCTGGGGACCTGGACCTGCTTTGGAGGTTTCTTGGCAGGTCAGCAGACGATCGCAGGCTGCCGTGGACCTCTTGAGAATCTGGGAACCCAGACCCTACCCCTACATCTGGACATTCCCAGCCTGTCTGGTTCGGTCCTGCATCTTGATCCCTTATGTGAGGATGGAGACGGAACTGCAGCCGGTATCACTACCTGAGGACGCCCAAGGGACTAGGATCCTCTAGGATACCAACTACCCAATGTCATACCTCTCCAGCTTATGAGTTGTGGAGGTCGTTCTCCTTTCACTCTACGGGACTAAACATCCTGCTGACAATCGGTCAGACTTGGTCTTGTATAATTTCCCATTAGATGGTGTATACGTGGGCGCTCAACGGGGAAGACCTCCCCACAACGCCGAATACTGGGTCTCTTGGCACACCGTAGGACTCTTATTTAGTTCTATACTCTTTTCTCAGCGTTAAAAATGCAAAATACGAAGCCTCCTGTCATGTGGTAAAATTGAAGATTATGCTAGCTTTAGTGTACTAATAATCTTAATTTTAATAATGACAGGAGGCGAGTATTTTCCCCCCTACTTCGCTGCCCACCCTTTCTATTCGTTTGCTTTGCAGATATCAGGTGCTAAGGTAGGTTTGCCTCTCACATTGGTGCTTATATGATATGTTCGTACTTCCATTAATATGGAATCCTCATTAGAGTTCTCATTACAATTACTCAGTTATCAGATTATAGTTACTATATTCTCCAATGGGATGTTAGGTGGTATGTTAATTGGAGTTACATGTTTGTGACTATGTCTAAACCTGTCACACATTCTCTTTTCAGTATGATTCGTCTCTGAAGATAATTGGCAGTTCACGTGAAACTATTGGAGATTTTATCCTTCGGATTTGTCTCAACCCTGAACTCTTTTTCGTTGTTCGTATAGAATTCTTTGGAAGTTTGCTCCTTCGCACATGGGAACTTGGAGTTATTATTAGTTTTATTATTTGCTATATATTTACTTCTGCTTGTTGTCGCTTTCTGAAAGAGGAAATGATAAGGTCACATTGCCTTGTGTACATCCTGCTCTCCTGTGATTGGTTCTTTTTTCTATGTGTTTCTTTACTGCTGTGTGGAGTTAGTAAAGAGAGATATGCAAAATACTCGCCTCCTGTCATTATTAAAATTAAGATTATTAGTACACTAAAGCTAGCATAATCTTCAATTGCTTTTTTGTAAGCATTATTGGCTTCCTTATGTCTTATATAGAATGCTTCTGATATGTCTGATTAAATGCTTATAAAGCCCTTTTCTTATTTTTTATCTCGTTTTACTTCCCTGCTAAGCCACATTGGTTTCAATGTGTTTCTTTTATATTTATTACCCAATGGTACATACTGAGAAATGTACCTTTCTAATATTTGTTTGAAGATATTCCATTTATCCTCAGTGCTTTTTCACTAAGGAGTTTGTCAGTCAATATGTTGTAGAGCTGCCCTAATCTTACTGAAATTGGCTTTTTTTAAATTATACGTTTTAGTGTACCACGTGCTTTTTCTTTTTTGAGCTTATTTAAAAAAAACATGATATTGTAATCACTATTTCCCAAAAGCTTCCCTACTTGAATGTTGGTCAAAAGATCAACATTGTTTGTTATAATCAGATCTAGACAAGCATCCTTTCTAGGTGACGCTTGTACCAGTTGGGACATTAAGGTGTCATTTAACACATTCAAAAATCTGATTCCCTTTCCCCCTATCCCAATTTATGTCTGGATAATTAAAATCTCCAAAAATTAACATGTTACCCAGATATGCAGCTTTCCCAATTTGCTCTAACAGCTCTTCTTTCTTATTAATATTAACATTAGTTGGTTTATAGCACATCCCAACCAATAATTGACTTCCCTTCTGTCGCCGCAAGCAGATATCTACCCATAAAGCTTTCACATTTTTTTCGTCACACTCCACATACTTAAGATTTGACTTTAACTCATGGTTGACAAACAATCTGTACAAGATTATTGACAGAATACTCTTTATTTATGGACATGTTAAATTATTCGAAAATGTAATGCACCATGGAAGGTACCATAGTAATGTACCTAATGGTAGGTACCATAACCTTATATAGATTTTCAAGTTTCTGATTTTGGAGAGTTAACAGTTTGTATGGATATATTTTGGGAAATTATTTCCTTAGACCTTTAAAAGACTAGGTAGCAATTCCCTCTAGGATGATAATTTTCTCTGTTGACATATGAAATTATAATGTCAATGATAATCTATTTGGGGAATATCTGATTTATTTCATGATATCCCTCTAACTGAAAGAAATCTCAGGGATTAGTTGGATAGCTTTAATAAAATATAAATGTATCTGGTAGTTACCGTTTCTTCTTGATCTCTGAAAAAATCTTACAGTCAGTGTTTAGGATTTCAAAGATATATTTTAAAGGACCACTATAGGCACCCAGACCACTTCAGCTTAATGAAGTGGTCTGGGTGCCAGGTCCATCTAGGGTTAACCCTGCCTGCTGTAAACATAGCAGTTTCAGATAAACTGCTATGTTTACAAATGGGTTAATCCAGCCTCTAGTGACAGCCGCTGGAGGCGCTTTTTTTTCACAGTGAAAAGATGCCAGCGTCCATAGGAAAGCATTGAGAATGCTTTCCTATGGACTGGCTGAATGCGCGCACGGTTCTTGCCACGCATGCTTATTCAGCCGATGACGGCCAAAGGAGGAGGAGAGTCCCTAGCGCCGAGGGAGCCCAGCGCTGGAGAAAGGTGAGGTTTTTTTTTCCCATATATAATTTTTATTGGTTTTGAAGAGTATTCCGGTGCTGATACATGATAATGATGGTGATACAAACAATAATGATGACAATAGTAATAGTAATAATAATAATACTTTGCTGGCGCAGCAGCTCATTAATCAATTACTGCATATATAGTTACAATAGTTTCATCCTTGTGCTGACAATATTTTCAACTTTATGATATAGCCCTTCTGATATGTGTATATCGCGTCTTAATGCCGCTCACATTGCACTCGTTTCAGAATTGTTGCCTGTGTAGGAGCTAGGTGGGAGTGACTATGGGCGAGGGCAGTGGTTTACTGTGCTCTTTGAATTGGTGAGTCTGCTTACTTGGGTGTCTCTTTTGTATCATGCAACCGGGGACAAGGGGAAAGGGTTAAGGGGGGGTAACATTCAACTTAAACTGTACCTATGGCCCACCTGGCCTAGAAGTCGTATGCATGCAGTGTGTGTAACTTAGGTCGCTTAGTCGTCAGTCATCATGGGTTGCGATCGTCATGAGATGCGATCTCTCCCGGTTCCAGCTGTCTTAACTGTGGTTGCTTAGGTTAGTGATTGTCCTTCTGTACTGGCCCCATTTCGGGCGTCCAGCCATCCCCCCCAGCAGGTGTTGTGTTTCTCAGGTGTTCCCTGCATTTTGTGTGCCATCTGTTCGTATAAACATATACTATACACTCTGTGTGTTACTTCCTCCTGAGTTGGGGGCGTGTTGTGTTTCCATTTTGATGCTATCGCAATTTTGGCCGTGGTTAGTATGATTATGGCAATTGTGCTCGATGGGTTTTTTGTTGGGTTGGTCGTAGGTAGTATGTGAAGTAGGTAGTGTGTTGGGTTTAGTGGGATTGACAGGTTAGTGGTTTCCTGTATGATTTTTTGGATCGCGGTCCAAAATGGCTTTATGATTGGGCATTCCCAGAATATATGTAGTAGAGACCCTTGCTTTTGTTTGCATCTCCAGCACAGTGGGGAGGTATTGGGGAACATCTTTGCCAATCTGAGGGGGACTAAGTACCAGCGCATTGCTATTTTGCTATATGCTTCCCACAGAGATAGGCTTTTGGATGCTCGCTTAGTGGCGTGAAAGGCTTCAAACCATTGTTGTATAGAAATTGGCTCCCCTATGTCTTCTTCCCACTTTTCCATATAGGAGTGTTTGTGCATTGATTTTCCTCTTTCTAGTGCGTTATAGCATAAGGCTAGCGGTTTGATGGAGCGGGATGTCAGGATATACCGGGCTGAGGGTACTTCTGAGTGTGGTGTTGGTGCTGCCGGTTTAACGCGTGTCTGTAGTATATTCTTAACCCTTAGGTATTTGAAAATGTCCCTTGGGTCGAGGGAGAATTCGCTTTGCAGAGTGGGAAATGCTTTCAGTTTGTTTTGGGTGTATAAGTCTCTTACATCATGTATTCCTAGATTTGACCATGTGGGGAGTTAGAGGTCGGGTGAGCTGGTCTGCAGTGCTGTTAGTGGTGCTTCCTTAAGTAGTGTTTGTGCGTCTATTACCTCTGAGGCCCAACATTCCCAAGTGTGTAATGTGGTTTGCGTGCACCGTAGTCCTTCTTTTCCTATGGTCTTAGGCTTGTGGGACCAGAGAACATTTGGGATGGTGAATGGGTGTATGCAGACATTTTCGAGGGCCAGCCATAGTGGGGTCTGTTCTGCGTCCGTGGTTCGGAGTATACGCAGGCCTTGTGTTAGGAGGGATGCCCGGTAATAGTTGCGAATGTCTGGCACTCCTAAGCCTCCTCTCGTGTATGAAAGGCTGAGTTTGGCAGCAGCCAGTCTGGGTGATTTCCGTTTCCATATGTGGGCATTAATTATAGTTTGGAATCTTTTTAGCAGTTTGGCTGACAAAGGTATGGGAAGAGTGCGAAATAGGTAGAGCACGTGTGGTAGGATCATCATTTTGATGGTGTTGATGCGCCCCAACCATGATACCTCCAATCCCTCCCATTTGTTCATTTGGGTCGTTAGTTTATGAATCATAGATGTATGATTTTCCGTGGTTAGTGAGTGCACATTTTTTGTCAGTTTTATCCCCAAGTATTGGATCGATTTTGTTCGCCAGTCGAATGTGTGTGTCTCCTCCAATGTTTTAATTATGTTTCTCGGTAAGCCTATGGGGAGGGCTTGGGTTTTAGCTACATTATTTTTATAGTATGACACTGATCCATACGAGTTCAGTGTTCTAGTGAGAGCTGGGATAGATTGTATCGGTTTTGTCATAAACACTATTATGTCATCCACAAAAAGGGCAAGCTTATGCACGCCTGTTGGGGTGTTGAGCCCTCGGATTGAGGGGTTGTTTTTTATGTTATAAATCAGGGGTTCCAAGCATAGGATAAAAAAGAGTGGGGAGAGTGGGCAGCCCTGGCGTGTGCCGTTGCGTATATGGAAAGCTTTTGAGAGGAATCCGGTGTTATATATTTTTGCCGAAGGACAGCTATATAACGCCAGGATACTAGTTATGAAGGGTTGGGGGAATCCCATGGTTTCGAGTGTTGTTATCATGTATTCCCAATTCAGTCGGTCGAACGCTTTTTCAGTGTCGAGAGCCAGGAGAATTCCTTGTTGGTTTGATTTTTGTGCCCATTCT